GCGCGGCGACTGGAATCGCCTGAGGTATGCCTTAGGCCTATCTCTCAATAAGTGTCCCTTTTTATTGGATCTAACACTGGTAATTTTGTGATTGTTATGAATCTTGCATACCAGCACTTCAACTGATGGAAATTCGCAGTGCGAGGACTTAGTGCGACAAAACATGCTAAAAACCTTTCTGCCTATGTGAGAAAAGAAAGAGCAGCTTCACCCTGCGCAATCAGCCTAACAATATCGAAGCCCAAAAATTGAGGAAAGTTTTGCATGATTCAACTCAAAAAGAACTTCAACCTCATCATCTCATGCTCAGGTTGAGTGCCGAATGGTAATGCTGGCTGTTCATGCCATTCTTGCATGCCCTGCTTGATTCGCCAAGCAATATAATCGACCTGAATCATACTCAATGAGTCACTGTAACCAATCCATAAACACGCGTACTCACCACAAATCCCTCCACATCGAGCCGGGGGTCTTCAAAATCTGGAGCATCTAGGACATCTGGAGCTGATTGAGCCGCAATTAGTTCTGTGCCCATTACCTATAATTTTTATCACTAACTATTTGTCACAGGTACAACAGCAAACATTTCGACGTTCGACGACAATAACGGAGTCAACAAAGAAAACCGAACTCAGCTAAATTCTATTAATCACCGGAAGGAAACTAGTGAGGACGACCTAAGGAAGGCTGCAGACACTATGTTATACAGAGTCCCTAGCTATGCAAGGGAAAATGAAAAAAGCATGGAAGGAACGAGCGAAGAACTGAGATGCAGGATGAAAGGGAACATCTGATCAGTGCTTCTTTTCAGGCTCCTTGCCAGTTGGCCATGCCATGTACACGGCTGCCGTAGCAATGATAGCAGAGACAATAAGCACAAGGTAGCCGCTTCGGACGATCTGAAATAAAAAAGAATTGAGAAAAAAGATTTGAGGAAAAGACCCATTTTCTAGTTCTTGTTGCACATCTTCAAAAAGGATGCTACTGCTACCAATACTATTAATTCGTGGTATAAGTTTTGTTGAACCTGGAGGGAAAAACTCATAACTTCCTCTAAACCCCCAGATAGGAGAAGGGTTGTAGTTGTCAATAAATACATGCCATAAAGATTCAATTTACAAATTTTTCATATTTTGCATTTATTTTAGCAGTTTTCCAATTTGCATTAAAGTGCCTAGACTTCCAAACTGCCTCCACGATAATGATATTGTCCCCGGAAATCAAAAAAGGTCTAGAATGAAGACGCTGTCATAAACTTGCCCTTATATTTCCTGTAACAAACATCTCAGAAAGTGAAGAAAAACGCCAATAGATATCCTCTTGATAGTTCATTTGTGCCAAACATCAGTCTTTACAGTTTCTGAGTTTTTTCTTTGAGAACAAATGACAAAATTGTCACTGAGAACAGAAGAAAAATCACAAAACTTATGTTACGACCCAATATTCTAGGATTACGGCAATACCTACCACATCTAAAAAACAGGGATTCTCGTGCCAATTAGAGACAGCATACTTACCTCATGAATATCTTTCATTCCTTTTGCAAGATCGAATCCAATGAATCGGATGCCATTTAGCACATGCAAGGATATGGGGAACACAATCACCCACTGAAAATT